TGTACTCATTGATATTTGGCTCATGACTCTGGCAGATCTCATCTCATGACTCCCGGCGCTCGATGGTTTCAGGGTGCTTGGGGTGCTGCCATCGGTCATCCTGCTCTCCTTCAAAGCCGGAAAGCCTGCTCAGGGATTCCGCAGCCTCCGTCGCGGTTTTGGCTCCGGACGAGGTTTGCCTCTTGGTCCATCATACCACTTGGGGATGTGAGCCGGGTTCTTGTCGTCGTCCGCCGCAAAGCAGAACTGATCGCTCGCCCTTGGGTTGGTGTTGAGCTCACATTCGGCTTCTCGCAAGTAGTCCGAAAACTGCTCCCTCGCCGAAATTGCAGATGAGATGGCGCTCCACTGTCCGTTCTCAGCTCCCAATACGTCGTAGCCCTTTATCACCAGGTTTTCAGGGATCCCGATGGCTCAGCATATCTTTGCACTAGCCACTCCTTAATCGCGAACCTCTCTTTGGACGCGCTGGGAATGGTCCCCCAGAAGTCTCGGAGCTGATCGATTCGCACCAGGTTGTGGCAACAGAACAACATCGTGAGAAGATAGTTCTGAGCCGCGACCCATTCAACCACCTTGTCCCTGTCGTCTGCCTCCATGTAGGATTCAAGGATATGATATGCGCCAGTGGGTCAAGCCCTCGCCCACGGATATCGCTAATCCTTCTCAATGCAAAGATAAGCAACGACCACGCGTTCGTCATCGCGTCTTCCCAGAAGTCCGCGAGTTTGATGCTCGGCCCTCGACGCAGCCCTCATTGAAGACGGCATAGAAGTCGTCGCCCCTTGTTCTCACCCGAGTCTATTCCTTCTTTGATGTCTTTCTCAACTTCAGCGGCTGCGTGCCCCCACATCATTCTGTCGACGTGAGACATCCTCTTCCACTCCTCAGGGGGCACATTTGGAGGTGTAGAGGTCTTGCAGGCCCTTGTTGTAGGCAGATACATGACACCATCGCCAGCTTTTTCTTCACTGACGTGTTCACATTTTTCCGGAGGCTTGGTGGGATCCGCATCAGCGAATCTGTACCTGATGTAGGTATCGATCGAAATCTCGGCACCGCCCTTGCCGTCCTGTAGAAATCTTCTCCCTTCTTCGGATCGATGCTAATGCAATCAAGCACTTCGGCAGTATCGCTGTTCACAGTCGTACGACCAACAACATCTTTCCATTTCAGGCCCCCTTTCGCACTCGTAGTTTGACCACCAAATGACCAGATGACCTTCCAATGTTCATCGCGAAGCTGATGAAGCCGTCCTCGTCCTGACCTGGCTGGGATCATAGCGGAGCTCTATCGGAGCGAGCTCGCTGGGATTGTTCATCAGCAGTAACCTGACGAAACAATCGATCATCACTGTCGTCAACAAACCTGCCGCGCTTGCGAGGTGTCCCTATCGGGAGCATCACCCATGCGGCCGCCGCCTGCCGAACTCTCCTCAAAATCGTAGACGAAGTCCGGCATGTCCTCACCTAGTCGGGGGCCACCAAGAATGGCCTCTTCATCCGCGACACTCCGAGATGACGCCATAGTGCTTGTAGTCGTAGGTCACGAGCGCGCGGGAAAGTCCTACGGCTGATAACCTGTGATTCGAGCACGCCCAGGCGAAAGGGTGTCCGGGCGCTGACAAAAGTTGGAAGCCCCCTCTTGTGCTCAAGTGTGATTAGCCATGTCTTTGAATGTCATTCGGAGGTGTTGCGATAGCAACCATCCGTCGGCATTTGGCTTAGGTGTTTGGATACGTGTCACAGGAGAAAGAAACTTCGGCCCGGAGCAGGTTGGTGGGGGAGTGCTCGTGCGGTTCATCGTCGACCCAGGTTGCGGGTATCCTTTTAGTTTGGATTGTGGTTGTTTGGTTGCTTGTGTGTGTGGTTGCTTCAGCACAAGGGGGGGTTCCAACTTGTTTCAGCGACCGTTGCTTAAGCGCAAGGGGGGGTTCCAACTTTTTCAGCAACCGTTGCTTAAGCACAAGGGGGGGTTCCCTTTTGCAGCGATCGTTGCTTAAGCACAAGGGAGGTTCCAACCTTTTGCAGCGACCGTTGCTTAAGCACAAGGGGGGTTCCAACTTTTTGCAGCGACCGTTGCTTAAGCGCAAGGCGGGTTTCCAACTTTTGTCACCGACCGTTGCTTCAGCACAAGGGGGGGGTTCCAACCTTTTGCAGCGACTGCTGCTTAAGCACAAGGGGGGGTTCCAACTTTTTCAGCGACCGTTGCTTAAGCACAAGTGGGGGCCCAAACTTGTGTCAGTGACCGTTGCTTAAGCGCAACCGGGGGGGGGGGGTTCCAACTTTTGTCAGGGACCGTTGCTTTTGTCAGCGACCGTTGCTGAAGCACAAGAGGAGGGCTCTAACTTGTGTCAGCGCAAGGGGGGTTCCAACTTGTGTCAACGACCTTAAACATACGGGGGGTTTCTAACTTGCGTTCTCGATCGTAACTTGTGTCAGCGACGGTTGCTTTCGCACAAGGGGGGTTCCAACTTGTGACCTTAATTAAGCACAAGGGGTTTCCAACTTTTTTCAGCGACCGTTGCTTAAGCACAAGGGGAGTTCCATCTTGCTTAAGCACAAGGGGAGTTCCAACTTGTGTCAACGACCGTTGCTTCAGCACAAGGGGGCTTCCAACTTTATCTGTGTCAACGACCGTTGCGTAAGCATGAGGGGGGTTGCAAATTTTTGCAGCGACCGTTGCTTAAGCACAAGAGGGGGTTCCAACTTGTGTCAGTGACCGTTGCTTAAGCACAAGGGGGGGGGGGGGGTTGCAACTTTTTTCAGCGACCGTTGCTCAAGCACAAGGGGGGGTTCCAACTTTTCTTCAGCGACCGTTGCTTAAGCACAAGGGGGGTTGCAACTTTTTCCAAAGACCGTTGCTTAAGCACAAGGGGGGTTGCAACTTTTTTCAGCGACCGTTGCTTAAGCACAAGGGGGGGTTCCAACCGTTTGCAGCGACCGTTGCCTAAGCGCAAGGGGGGGTTTCAACCTTTTGCAGCGACCGTTGCTTAGCACAAGGGGGGGTCCAACCTTTTGCAGCGACCGTTGCCTAAGCACAAGGGGGGGTTCCAACTTTTTGCAGCGACCGTTGCTTAAGCACAAGGGGGGTCCAACCTTTTGCAGCAACCGTTGCTTAAGCACAAGGGGGGGTTCCAACTTTTTGCAGCGACCGTTGCTTAAGCACAAGAGGGGGTTCCAACCTTTTGCAGCGACCGTTGCTTAAGCGCAAGGGGGGGTTCCAACCTTTTGCAGCGACCGTTGCTTAAGCACAAGGGGGGGGTCCAACCTTTTGCAGCGACCGTTGCCTAAGCACAAGGGGGTGTTCCAACCTTCTGCAGCGACCGTTGCTTAAGCACAAGGGGGGGTTCCAACCTTTTGCAGCGACCGTTGCCTAAGCACAAGGGGGGGCTCCAACATTCATCAGCGACCGTTGCTTAAGTAAAGAGGGGGGGGTCCAACTTTTTTCAGCGACTGTTGCAGAAGCGCAAGGGGGGGTTCCAACCTTTTGCAGCGACCGTTGCTCAAGCACAAGGGGGGGTTCCAACCTTTTGCAGCGACCGTTGCTTAAGCACAAGAGGGGGTTCCAACTTTTTGCAGCGACCGTTGCTTAAGCACAAGGGGGGTCCAATCTTTTGCAGCGACCTTTGCTTAAGCACAAGGGGGAGGTTCCAACCTTTTGCAGCGACCGTTGCTTATGCGCAAGGGGGGCTTCCGACCTTTTGCAGTGACCGTTGCTTAAACACAAGGGGGGGGTTCCAACCTTTTGCAGGGACCGTTGCTTAAGCACAAGGGGGGCTTCCAACCTTTTGCAGCGACCGTTGCTTAAGCACAAGGGGGTGTTCCAACCTTTTGCAGCGACCGTTGCTTAAGCACAAGAGGGGGTTCCAACCTTTTGCAGCGACCGTTGCTTAAGCACAAGGGGGGGTTCCAACCTTTTGCAGCGACCGTTGCTTAAGCACAAGAGGGGGTTGCAACTTTTTGCAGCGACCGTTGCTTAAGCACAAGGGGGGTTGCAGAAGCGCAAGGGGGGTTCCAACCTTTTGCAGTGACCGTTGCTTAAGCACAACGGGGGGTTCCAACCTTTTGCAGCGATCGTTGCTTAAGCACAAGGGGGGTTCCAACCTTTTGCAGTGACCGTTGCTTAAGCACAAGGGGGGTTCCAACCTTTTTCAGCGACCGTTGCTTAAGCACAAGGTTCCGACCTTTTGCAGCGACCGTTGCTTAAGCACAAGGGGGGGTTCCAACCTTTTTCAGCGACCGTTGCTTAAACACAAGGGGGATTCCAACCTTTTGCAGCGACCGTTGCTTAAGCACAAGGGGGGTTGCAACTTTTTCAGCGATCGTTGCTTAAGCACAAGGGGGGGTCGGCAAGTTTCTTCAGCGACCGTTGCTTAAGCACAAGGGGGGTCCAATCTCTTGCAGCGACCGTTGCTTACGCGCAAGGGGCGGTTCCGACCTTTTGCAGCGACCGTTGCTTAAGCACAAGGGGGGGGTTCCAACCTTTTGCAGCGACCGTTGCTTAAGCACAAGGGGGGGTTCCAACCTTTTGCAGCGACCATTGCTTAACCACAAGGGGGTGTTCCAACCTTTTGCCGCGACCGTTGCTTAAGCACAAGGGGGGGTTCGAACATTTATCAGCGACCGTTGCTTAAGTAAAGAGGGGGGGGTCCAACTTTTTCAGCGACTGTTGCTTAAGCACAAGGGGGGGTTCCAACTTTTTCAGCGACCGTTGCTCAAGAACAAGGGGGGGTTCCAACTTTTGTCGACTGTTGCTTAAGGACAAGGGGGGGTTCCAACCTTTTTCAGCGACCGTTGCTTAAGCACGAGGGGGGGTTCCAACTTGTTTCAGCGACTGTTGCTTAAGCGCAAGGGGGGGTTCCAACTTTTTTCCGCGACCGTTGCTTAAGCACAAGAGGGGGTTCCAATTTTTTCAGCGACCGTTGCTTAAGCACAAGGGGGGGTTTGAACAATTCCTGCTTTTACTTTGCCCAAAAACCAGTCTGCAAGGCATGGCGCGACGGCGATCTCTCGCATGCCCTCCAGCAAGAGGTTCGCGGCATGGGTCACGGAAGGCGCAGCTTCACGTCGGGTGCTTTCCCTCGCCTTGTCGGCGGCGTCCCGCAGAATCTCGTGCAAGCTGGCAAACCTACGCGCTCGGATTTGGCCCGAAAGCCCAAGGAAAATGGGGGGCGAAGAGCTGACAAGTCGGCGTACTTCTTGACATGTGCATTTGCGTGATTTTATCTGCGCACAGGTACGCATCGCTCTCGCTCTCTCTGTCAAGTTTGCGTGGCCTCTGCATGTCAGCATCCAGAACTCGGAAATATCGGCCAAGCGCATCCTCCACTTCTGAGTAGAGAATGCAGTCTTTCGTGTTGTTTTTCAGCTTGCGAAGCAGGCCGAGCACCACGATTCGGAAAGCTGGCATCAAATCCATTCCACTCAGCGTTCGCTGGCGCAAATCAAAGAAAGATCTGCAGCCATCCTCGTCTTGCCCAGCTTCATCGAAATCATCTAAACTCTCTTGATGATTTCTTTCAGCTTCTTCGACATCGGCATTGCACAAACGCATGCTGAACCGTCCTGCTTGGCTTTGTTTGCTGCTTTTTGTGTTTGCACCCCCTCTCTCTCTCTCTTTCTCTCTCTCTCTCTCTCGCCCTTTTGCACCTGCAGTGTGGTTCAAACATAGAGGCTTTTCCTGGGCATGCTGGACATGCGCATCACCTACATTTCAAAGCTTACACTATTCATTGGCACCTGTGGCCCACCAGATCTGGGCCCTTTTCCCTGCTTCTGAGCCCTTTCCAATCTTTGTAGTTCGCGCACACTAACGCGGCAGGAACCTTGAGTTTGCCACCGACTGCCAAGCAAAGGCGCGTCTGCGCCTTCCATGCACAAGCACGCCACTGCCACCCAGCTGCATGGCTGACTTCTGGGCGCGCTGTTTGAGCTGCCACCAGCAAGTTCATTGGCAAGTTCGGCGCCCGAAAGGGCAAATGGTGGCGCGTCCCAGCCCACCATCGAATCGCAGAGCTTTGCTCTGGACATTTGGCATCCCAGGCCGCAAGGATGTCAAATGCATGTTTTTTGGTCAAAGGGTCATGTGTCCGGGCACATTTTGCGGCACCCGCGATGGATGACATGCACCGCGGCCGAGAGTCAAAGGCTACACAGCAAGCACTGGTGGCCGTACCGAGGGATGGCCATGGAAGGCCCAGCCTGCGGTGCGAAACGCCAACTCGACTCAAAGCGAGCGGTCGGCCTGCCATTCGTCCAGCTCGGGTCGGTAGAACTCTGTGGAGGACAAGACGCTGCCATTCTGACCGCCGCTCACCTCTGGATCGGAGCTCGCCAATCGGATAGGCGAAGAAAACTTTCACAACAAGTTGCCATGATGGAGTCGGAGATGACGGCTGCGGCAAAATCCATGCGAGACTCCTGCTAAATCACTCGACTAGTTTTTGCGTGCCCCAGTCGCAACAAAACATGAACCCAGCCCTTCTTGCCGCACCCATCCTTCAACTCATGACAGTTTCGCTCCAAACTCAGCGCTGACAAGTGATCACTGCTTCAGATCAGGCTCCTGCATCGGAGCGCGCAGGCTGAACATGTGGTCATCTGGGTCCAGGCACTCTGCAGAGAAGTGGATCCTGCTGCAAAATTGCTCCCGGTCAACCCATCTCGAGCGAAAGACATGGGACATAGGTCATAATGCTGGCAGGGTCCTTTGCTCGTTGTCCGTGCCACCCAGGGCGAACACATGGTGCACACAATTCGCAGCCTGGCCGTTTCACATCTGAGCCATGGACGTCTCGTTTTTTGCTGGATATTTCATTTTTCACGCCCTCCCCAAATCACCGTAATAGACCAGTCACATTGGCACTCTCCCAAAGAATTGGGAAACATGACTGGTTGACCTTTGGGGGTGACGAATAACATGGAAGACCGCATGAGATTGGGCTGTTGCTTTGCGCCTGCCCTGCCGAGCGCACGTCCACCATTTCGCCCTTCAGCGTTTCCCATCGATTGGCGCGCGGGTCGAACACGTCCACGCTGCGCAGCCTGCGCTTGAGGAGCGCACCCATGTGAAGCGCTAAAGCTACCTCGGCTTTTTCTTCACATGTCACGTGGACTTCTGTGTTTTGTTCGAAGGCACCCGTTTCCGAATGAAAGGAATCGAAAGCTAGCATTTTGGGGCCCCTCCCTTGTGCCACATGCCCAGGCGTTGCGCGCCTTGTGCCCGATGTGCCGCCCAGCACCCAAAGCTTGCCCTGACTGGTCGTGGCCATGGCAGAAGATCGTGGTGTTGGCAAGGGCTCCATCTGCATCCAACTCCTCGAGAAATTTCTTTCAGGATTTGATCGGAAAAACAAATGGTACTTCAAAGCAAGGGCTCTTTCGATTTTGACGCGAGGTGTCGACCCGGCTCGAGCGGCCAAGGCACTTCAGTCGGCTGTCGTAGGCCTGGCGAGAATCATCGAGAATCCCAAGGCACCTGGACCCTCGAAGGTTCTCATATCGCATGGGACCTTCTACGGGTAGCTTCAGGGGTTCCTGAAAGTCGAGAACCCATGCCAGCCCACCTCCACAGAGTCAATGATGCGCGTGCCATCAAAGCCTCACAGGCGCCAAACATGGAAACGTCTCGTTACCCACATTGGGTGGCGCTTGGCCAAAGGAACACCAACTAACCATGGACGAACCATTTGGAAACAACAAACCAACAATTGTTGGTGCTTCCGATTCGAGAAACCCATTTGCTCCCTGCCCCAATTGCCTCTGCCTCCGATGCCTCCGACCCCTGCAGCCCAGCCCCTGCCTCCGACGGCATACAAGCGGCCCTCCAACTCGCAACTTGCGCAATTCCGACGAGGGAAGCGCATGGAAGCGCCCGCCTCCGAAGCTGAGGGTCTTAAAAACCCTCTCTCTTCCAAATGAAATCGACCTTGGATTTTACGACCGGGACAAGCTTTTTGTCTTGCTGTGTTTTACAGCCCACCTCCCAGGAGTCACGCAAGCAGTCGTAGATCTCGACGTCGCACAGCGCCTGTGTAGTGCGTCCCATGGGCCATGGGGTTAACTTTTCCCATCCCAATGTGAAACCTGCTTGTGGTTTCCAATGGTCCCATGTTGGGACCTTTTGTTCAATGGGGCAGGGGCCACCCGTGCCTTGTAGTCCAGGTTCTGGCCTCCATAGACGTGCAAGCGATTCCGCAGTGCGGCGGCGCCGAAGTAAGTGCGCTCCTCAGGGGGGGGGGCCTGGCTGCGTCTCCGCGAAAAAGCAGAAATCGACTCCCAAGTGGTTGCAACTTTCTTCCAATTGAATCGCCAGAAGTGAGTCACAATCGAAACTCGGTACTAAACGGTCTACATGTAAAGAATTAAGAAGGCTTTTTTACCGCAGCCCCCGATACAGATCCGACTGCCGCCCAGATCCGTGGCCATGGCGCGGCAGGGGCGCCAGCACTGATTGCCCACATCCAGCACCTAAGGGATGCGGTGGAGGTTTTTTTCTTCCTCCACGCCAGTAGGAAACCAATGGATTAAAGGATGTTGGTGTGTGACACCGGAAGGAAACCAAGCAGAAAAATGGGAGGGGGGTCCGGGCATAGCCAATGTCAAAACGTAAGGGTCTCAGGGCCAACGCCTCCATGGCCCGCAAGTGCTCGTAACCGTCGTGCCCGCCCACAGCAAAGACCAACCTCAGTGCTTGTTCTCCACGCGCCAATGCGAAAACCCCACCACTTCCGAGGCCCAGGGGCGGAAACGGGAAAAAATGGACCCCGTAGTAGGAAGCCTCCTGGCAGTTGCTCACTCGCTTCGCAAGTGCCTCAGAGCCTTGCCGTCCTGCACCAAAGCCTCTGACTCGGCCAAGTCCCTTGGCATCGGAGGCGTCTGGGGGTTACGTAGGAAGTTCAGGATCGTGCGGAAGTGCTCGGGATCACCTCGCCATTTGGGTTCTTTTGCGCCGGTCGCCTCACGAATCAGCGTTTCAACGCGGCCAAGGCGCGATTTAGGAAGATCCGGCCGTAGCCTGAGCCAAGGCCAAGGAATGAAGCTGACACTTGACGATGCGTCCAATTCCACCAAGGAGTAGGGCTGAAGTGTGCAGCAAAGCATCGATCACGGCTCACCTGGTACCTCGCTCCAAGGCAGCCGGCGAGATTTGCCGTGAGAGATTGGGAGAAGGACAGCCGTCCCCGCCTGCCAGAGAGAAGGCTCTCCAGGAAGCTCCCTTGCTGCTGAACCAGCGTGGTACGAGTCGTTTCAAAGATGGTGCCTTGGCTCTCACCAACCTGGGTGTGGTTCCATGCTTTGGGAAGCCTTTCCTGGGCTTGGAACCTGGGCGTGAGGGTACCCTTTTCTGAGGTTGGTTTGAAGGACAACCAGCCTTCGCAGTCTCAAAATTGCACGCATGGCCCAGCCCCAAGGCGTCGAGATGCCTCCAACGTTGAGGTCCACCGTGCTCTCTGCAGCCAGCTGAGGGTTTGCCAATCGCTGGCGCTCTGCCTCGAAGAGGCCGTACTCCTGCCCTCAGACTGGAATGCAGTGAGCAGGCAACATGTGCAACTCATGTTGGCCCTGTATTGATCAACCAGCTTATTCATGGGGGGGGGGGGGGTTGCCCTCCAAAGTGATGGTTCCCAACTAAACGCAGGGACACACCCTTATTCATTAATATTGGGTTGACTAATATGGGGTAAAACAACAGCTGAAAGCATTCACGTTTGTTCATGCCTGCAACGTACCATCACCTACCGGAGCCTCCCCTGAACGCAAGCAGGGCTCTGAACTTCTCGTACTCATGCGCCACCCCACGACGCCTCTGTGAGCCTTCCTGCTCCACCTGAGGCTGCCGCATCGACACATTTCGCTGGGAATTCATGTCCACCACCCATTTTGGAGGGCTCCCCAGTAAACGTCATACCCTCTATCCCTCCCTCCTCCTTTCGTGGGAAGGTGCCATGTTAGTGGGTGGGAGGGCAGCCATGTTGTCACGCCAAAGCTCAACCGTGGCGCACAAAAACCAGAGCCACTACCCACCAAGCCACACGCAAGCGCTCCTCCCCAATCCGCTGCCGGGCTTCTTCAATGTCGGCCTGCACCTGCCTGCAAAAAGCCCCCTCACGCAGCTAGTGCATATATGCAGGGCATTCCCAAACTCACTTGCCCAAAAGGCCTGGAAACAGAACTTTGACTTAAGAGAGAAAATGGAAAAAAGGTCACAAAGGTCACAAAGGTTGGTTCGCTTTGCACAAGTGAGCAAAGAGTGGACTGCGTTTAGACGCGCTTTAGACGCCTCAGCTGCGTTGCCATCTCCTCTTCAGCGTGTCGCCGGTCTTCCCGGATCTTCTCCACCTGCATGAAAGCATATCATATCCAAGGGCGACCGGAGAGAGCTTGAAATTTGGGACCCCTCCTGATGGTTTCCTCCACATTTTAAGACATTAAGTCCAAGTCCAGTCTCCCTCTGCTTCTCCGCCATGAACTGCTGCCACACAGATTGCGTCCCGAATCCCGAAAGTGTGATTCGCGTCCCGAATCCCGAATCCCCAATCTCGAATCCCGAAAGTGAGATTCGCGTCCCGAATCCCGAATCCCGAAAATGTGATTCGCGTCCCGAATCCCGAATCCCGAATCCCAAATCCCAATCCCGAATCCCGAAAATGTGATTCGCGTCCCGAATCTCAAATCCCGAAAATGTGATTCGCGTCCCGAATCCCGAATCCCAAATCCCGAATCCCAATCTCGAACCCGAAAATGTGATTCGCGTCCCGACTCCCAAATCTCGAATCCCGGAAAACGTCCCGAATCCCCAATCTCGAATCCCGAAAATGTGATTCGCGTCCCGACTCCCCAATCTCGAGTCCCGAAAGTGTGATTCGCGACACCTACTTATTGGCAGGGGGCCCCCCCCCACCCCCCCCCCCCCGGGTACATTTTCCGCTTCGAAAATTGGCTTGGGCAAAGTGGCCTCAAACACGTGGAACAAAAGGCCTGTACATTTCTGCGTTCTGAGTTGGATCTCGTTCGTCCACATTTCGAAATTTTGAAAAAGCTACATTGCAACACATGCAAACTAGCCCGCGCGACGGGAGATACTCTCAAATGGAACTCTCAAATGGAATCAGGTCCACAGATTTGCAGATTCACGTAAGGCTGTGCCGAGCCCCCAAGAAGGACTTTGGAAGACTATCCTGTGGGTTCTATACTGTGCTTCAACAAACACAATGAATTTGCACCAAGCACACATCTCATAAAAACGCCCACGTTGTCTCCTTCTACCCGTGAATTGCACTCCCGCTAATTATGGGTGCTGGAAAGCAAGCATGGGCCGGCCTGTGTGTGCGCTCGTTGCTGGTTAGCCCTGCCGTGCCAGCAAACCGGAAAGCTGCGTGTGTCCCAAGAACTGTTTGAATGGTTTTTCAAGCGCTACCCCGAAACTGGGAGCACACATAGCAAAGTAGCAGGGCATGCGCAGTCACTTCCATGTCGGAGCGCGTTGTGTCTCATCAACTTCTTCGCACATATCCTGAACGCAGAGCTCCTCGCATGACATCTCATACGTCCCGTCTAAAATCACCTTTCCGAAAGGCCACTCCTTCAAACGTTGCGCACGAGGTAACGCACGCATTGCTGCGCACAACCGCGCGAAAAGGTATCGGCCTGCGACTCTTGGACGTGTGCGTTTGCAGGAACGCGCGTGCTTCAAACAGAACAGTCCTGGCAACTATAAGGACATCCAGCTACCGGTCGCAGCTGTTGGCTGCCCCCGCTCAGCTGCTTGCGGCTAGCCGACGTTCTCATGTTTCTGCAGAACCGCGAAGAAGTCTAGCAGATTTGCGTCCGCTGCTGCCAACTCTTTGCATAGACTTTTTGAACCAGCCCGCGGAATTCAACACACGCGCGGCTCCATATCTCTGGAAGCACAAGCGATGCTTTCACCCGCTTGCCAACCATCATGGGCACAGGGGTGATTTGGACTGTCCTGTTCAAACGCTGCGTGCCCACAAGCGGTTCACAAATCGTTTCAGCTGGCGTTTCTGCTTGCGAACCTTGCAATTTGGAGGGCAAGCGCTTTTGCTGAAAGATCTCTCGATTGGGGACGCCGGCGGGCTTTGATCAGCGAGAAATTTGATATTGGGCTTGATCGTGCGGCGGCCAAGCGATGCTTCGTCGTGGTTCAGCAGCTGCTTGACGAAAACCCTGCAAAGTGGAAGGAAGCTCGCTGGAAGCCAGCCGCCGCGAGGGTCCGTGCCGCCGGCAACGCAAGTTGAGATTGGCCCCCCAGTGGACGACATTCTGGGCTGCGCACGTGCTGGCGAATTGAAGTGAGATCACATCATGTTGGTTGGTGTCCGCCCGTTAGCCCAGCCAGTCTGAGCAAGTTGCTTTCATTTTTTATGAAGCCGTATGAAACCCTGCCACCCCTGATTTTTTTGAAGGCCCGGCATGTGTCGCACCAAGCCGCCTGAGGCAGCTTAGCTTGTTAGCTGCTTAGATTGCGTCGTTTCTGTGGGGGAAAGGTTTGTTTTCAGGGGCGCTCTTTACACGGCTTTCAATGAAAGAGGAGCTGGGCCAACATCCTCAGCATCCCCTGCCGCATCCTTAGCATCCACTGTCGGGGAAAGGCGTGTTTTCAGGGGTGCTCTTTACACGCCTTTCAATGAAAGAGGAGCCGGGCCAACATCCTCAGCATCCCCTGCCGCATCCTTAGCATCCACTGTCGGGGAAAGGCGTGTTTTCAGGGGCGCTCTTTGCACGCCTTTCAATGAAAGAGGAGGGCGGGCCAACATCCTCAGCATCCCCTGCCGCATCCTTAGCATCCACTGTCGGGGAAAGGCGTGTTTTCAGGGGTGCTCTTTACACGCCTTTCAAAGAGGAGGGTTGGCCAACATCCTCAGCATTTTTTGCCGCATCCTTAGCATCCACTGTCGGGGAAAGGCGTGTTTTCAGGGGCGCTCTTTACACGCCTTTCAATGAAAGAGGAGCCGGGCCAACATCCTCAGCATCCCCTGCCGCATCCATAGCATCCACTGTCAGGGAAAGGCGTGTTTTTTCAGGAGCGCTCTTTACACGCCTTTCAATGAAAGAGGGGGGCGGGCCAACATCCTCAGCATCCCCTGCCGCATCCTTAGCATCCACTGTCGGGGAAAGGCGTGTTTTCAGGGGTGCTCTTTACACACGTTTCAATGAAAGAGGAGCCGGGCCAACATCAATTAATTCAATAATTACTATCAATAATTCACAGGATACATCATTAGGACAAAAGTTGGATAAAATAGACAATCGGTAGCAGGTGCTATTAATTTTAGCGATAATGCAACTTTACACAGTGATTTAAATATGCTTACTACTGGTTCTACAATATGTAATAAATTCAGCACTACACCTTCACCTAATTTAGGATTGCAAATGACTTTTCAAATGTTTAATAGAGAGTTCAATATTAATAGAGATGGACGCATGTGGATGAGTAGCGCAGGAGGTCAATGGGAAACGCAAATCGGAGACGCTAATGTTGGACGTGTGTGGGTTAAAGATAGGTTTGGTTTAGGTGCTGTCGGTGTTAATGGCTATGTTTTAAATTGTGCTGGAAAATCAAGATTTACTGATTCAGTTGATATTATAGGAGCTGACAAGACAGTAAATCTTAACAATTGTTCATATTTGAATTTTAATAATAATGGTTCAATACGAAGATATACACCAGATACTATAGAAGGTTTATATATGTCTCACGATGATTTTGTTGCCATTAGTGTTGGCGGTGTTACGAATGCTTCTAATCAATATATGATGTGGGATGGATTAGTTAAATTTATACGAATGCTGATGTTAATTGTGATAATGTTAATATTGATACCGATGGTAAATTAACAATTGGTACAAATTGTGAACTATACAGATATGTTAGTGCTTTTTCATCTTTTGATATGAGAAATACCGATGCTAATTCTTCAATTCGATTTATTTGTGGGGACCCCGCCGTTCAATCTAACATAGTTGGAGCAGTTAATATTACTACCGGATGGACTTTTCATACTGCTACTGCTGATTTTATGGATAATTTATTTGCTGATGATGTTTATGTTAAAACTAATGGAGCACTAAGAAGCAATCATTTAGCACCTAACGGAGGAACATGAATAACCGTTGATACTAATATGGCAATACAAAATGCATATTTAGCAGTTAATACCATTCAATCATTTGATTTAACAACGGTTTCATTTTTCGGTAATATTTCAATGACTACTGGAACTGATATTAAAATGGGAACATCGGAAATATCAACTTATTATGATGGAACTAATGTATCTACAATTGATGTAATGTTCAAAACTTCTAACACTGCTGTTAGAGTAGCAGATAGCTCAAGTACACCTTCGGTTTTATTATCTATTGATAAGACTTTCGGAACGACAGTAAATACTGGAAGTTTTACAAATAATGCTCCATCAACTTTTAATGAAAATGTAACGGTTGCAGGAACGAAGAAATTGTTATGTAATTTAATTGAGCCAGCAACAGGGACAAATATAGATTTAACAGCAACAACAGTAACCATCAATGGAACGTTTGTTGATTCCAGTGACTCACGATTGAAATATGATATAGACAATATCAAATCTAATTGTATGAATATCATTAAGAAATTTAAACCGAAGAAGTTTAAGAGACACGATAGAAATGATGACGGTACAACTCATATAGGTTATTTAGCAGACGAAGTATTAAAAGCAATTCCTAAAGAATTTGAAAAAGTTGTTAGTAAAGATAGAGAGTATTTAGGATTGAACTATTTAGTTTTACATGTGTTAGTTCATAAAGCAGTATTAGAATTAAATGATAAAACAGATAAGCTTGAAAAAGAAATTAAGGAATTGAAAAAAGAAAAATCTAAATAATAATATATAATGGGTATTGGTCAAAGTAAAAACGAAGAAAATAACAGTATGGAAGACATTAAGAATTTAAGAGTAGATGAAAAAACAAGAGCAGATACTTTAATAATTAAATCTATTCAAGAATGTGTGGCAAGGATTGAAAAATTAGAAAATCAAAAACCGGACAAACTCATATATAAATTACCTGCGTTGAATTTATGCAACGCTTCATTAATTTAAATTAATAACACTAAACAATAAATTTAATGTTGTTGATTAGTTATTTTCAAATATGGATCAAAGCGTTTCATAAACATTTTATCTGGGTTCTTTTCTAAAAGGTTAATATATAAAAAACTATCAGCATCCCCTGCCGCATCCTTAGCTTCCAGTGTCAGGGAAAGGCGTGTTTTCAGGGGCGCTCTTTACACGCCTTTTAATGAAAGAGGAGGGCGGGCCAACATCCTC